AAAAATTCGTTATAAGCTTATAACGAAGTTGATATCCAGATCCTAGAATTCGTTATATCAAGAGTTCACTGTATATAAAGTAGCGTGACAAGGAATCAACTAGTTTCTTTGTCATTCAAGTCAATTTGTCAAGCTACAAAACTAGCATTGGGGCATCAGACAATCAATTAGTTTGCCTGGTATTTAAGTCAATTCGTTGACCTAGTGCTGGTCCCATTAGGACACTAGACAATCAATTCGTTTGCCTAATGCTCGTCGACCTAATGGGATAAGAAATTCAATAAAAATCAGGATATAGAAACATTTCCAGTAAAATCAAGTTATGAGGCATAGTAAATCATATAATCTGTAATGTGATTTTACTGGAAACACTCCTATATGTTAATTACATTATTGCTAACTACTTAAATTCTTTATAAGGGTACTAGTGATTATAAAGAAGTAAGAAAATAGGAAAAGGCTTGGAAGGATCATGAATCATTGGTACCATTGGTGAATGGTGAACACATAATTAATATAACTACTTCAACATTTTTGGGGAACATTGATCTATTACTGAAACCTTTGGAGTGATTTCAACGAAAAGGGTGATGCATATTGTAAACAAATGGATTGTTATACAAGAGTCTGATATGTCGCATGCGATATGACCGCAGAAATATCTGTCACATCTAGGAGGTCTGTTGTCTAATTATATTAGCCAAAAGAAGTTACGCTATTAAAAAGATGAGGATGAAGAAGAATTGGAGCGTTTCGCAATGGTATGAAGATTGTGGTAGTTTAATGCTTAAATGGAAACCTTTCTGATTTTAAAGGTCATTGCGAATTAGAGGTCTAATGAAATTCGCCTAATGGCTGAGCGAGCAGCACAATTGTAGCAACCACTAGAAACTGCCATCGAAGAAGAGTCTTTTACTATTGAAGAGTTTGAAGAAAGGTATTATAATGACTTCTATAATTGACTATAAAGTTAATATTCACATGAAAACCACCCCTTTTAAAACAGTTTGGCCGAAGCCAATATTGTCAACTTAAGCTCAGATAATTCCCTGATAAATAAGAAAATTTTTAACAATTTAAAAACAATTGCCAAATCCGCTCCTCTACCTCATGTTAATCTTGAAGGTCTTAAAAAGTGGATCAAAGAAAATTACACAGTAAGGAATGGTTTTGTTTGTTTATATTTGATTGATCAATTTAATTTATTTACTGTTTACTTTACATTTAGCGTAAAATTGAGACTACATTGTCAAATTTATGAGTAACAACAGAAATAGAAGGACTGGATTCAGAACAATTTGACTTTGTAAGGCGAGTGCTCAAAATTAAACTCATGCAATTGCGAGCTGGGCATGGAGAAAAACTCGATATGTTAATGGATGAGAATACATATACATCAACAATTGTGTCTCCTGACTTTGAGATTTTGAAGTTTTGCTTTCCATATTTGTTTATTAGTAGATGGTAAGTCATAAGAGAAATAAAAGCAAATTCCACATTGATCACGAACTTACAGACTTTCTTGAATAGGAATGAAAACGACGTTCCTTCATCTAATTGGCGTCACGAATTGGTTTGTACCAGTTCTTCTTTACGTAAAGCAGATGGTATCCTTTTCAATTACGACCATGTTAACCGGGAACTCCTGCTTTTTGAGAATATTGGCCCTCCCTCAAGGACATTGAACCCTAAATATTGTAGGGATCTCTTAAAGAGCCTTTGAAACTCTGTGGATGCGATATGTGAGACGTTCTGGAAAAACAAAAGTGGAGATGCAGCAATAGCATCAAAATATTACGTGTTGACATACGTTGTACATGGTAAGTTTCAATGGCCATTTCTGCTTTACAATGATGTATTGAAATTCATTAATGAATTTCTATGCATGTAGAGCGTGAAGGTAAACTTTATAGAGTAAATTTGGCTGCTCCCCAAATTTTTGCTGCCGAAAGAATACTGAGAGTTAGTTATCCTTTTGAATTTGCGATATTCCCTAATATTATCAAAGTCGTTGAATTACTACTCATTGTTAAGGTAACGATAAATTTCTTTCACATTTTAATTGGTTATAATTAAATTTGTTTTCTGCACGCAGGGTGTGATCGAATCAAACAAGGATGTTATTCACAATTACACTGTCTCTTGTATGGAAGAAACCAAAAACTTCCCATTAGTACAAGATTGGATTTGTTTTTAATGAAAAACACCATAGTTAGTTTCGTGTAAACTAGAGTTTTTTTTTGTATGACTAGATAAACTCGTATCTAATAATAATACTTATATGTAAAACCAGAACATAAAATTTTTTTTGAATCGCGAAAATACTATATAAATTTCGCAGGTTATTATTGTACATATTACTAACATTGATTAACCGAATAATAAAGTATTTATTAATCTTCCCAAATTATGCTTAATCATTTTATTCTATTTGAGACAACGGAAAAATATATCTTTGGCAAAGTGATCGACGGAACGCGCACGGAAACTGCCGGGAAAAATCAATTTTACTTTATATCCCAAATATGATTTTCAGGCCGAAATATGTTCCCCTTTCTATTGCAAAGGCCCATATGTAATGGAAACAATTTTTATTCCACGAAGAAAAATGATGAAAACAATTCAGACCTATAGATGTTAACGGTCACAGATTCTGATTTATCAAATGATTATCACACGCGTCTAGAGTAATTTACGATGACAATAATAATATTAATTTAGGATTCTGATGAGGAAACTCCCGCGAATATAAAAAATCTCGAAATTCAGATGTGTGTGGGAATTTTTCCATAGAGTTCAAGATGAGGAAAAATGGTGCAATTAAAAATTACAAATGCATTTTATGTGCGAAACTCTATTCAACAACTGGTTCATAAAATTATTGAGCTCGGGAACTGGAACCGTTAACATCTCTAGTAAAAAGCTCGGGCGTGTGAATCATCCTAACCCTTTATCTAACCCTAACTAACCTAACCTAACACTACGTGACGAGTAATGGTGACAATTAGGATTTTATCACCGATAAAGTTTCAGATAAATAGTAAAAACAATTCTTTATTATTATGCACAAGTCTGATCAAGTTATTTCTTTGCTCTCAGAATAACTTTCTACAGATAATTCATTTCTATATCTATTACTAATTACAAGATTCTCCTCCCATAATCTTTCTCTACACTAGAATTCCAAAATAAATTATATCTAAAGAATTTTCATCTATCTATATCATTCCGCACAGACTATGTAAAGATTATTCCCTGCAAGTGAACTTCCCCAAGATTAAATAATTTCGAACCTGTATGAAGAATTCTGAGATTAAAAACGTTGAGGTTTCCGATTCATACTTATCGTTATACTTCATTTTCACAACAGTCTCATATTCAAAGAAACTTATTACTTAATGTGATACAATAAAGGTGTTTCAATTTTTTTATCGCTAGAACAATACTACGCCAAGCATGATGCCATTTCCAGAAAATATATTTGATATACTATCCTTGAACATCTACAAATTCGAAAAAAATGAAATCAAACCAACATACCGTTATTATTTATATGAGTTCATTTGATTGTTAATATCGATGATTTAGACAATGGTAAATTGATCAGTAAGAATTTTTTGTTTTACTTGGCAGATAAAAGGATTCACTAACAGGGACATCACCTTTTTATATAATTCCCAGGAGAATACACTTTTGGGGAATATGATCGCATCACAAAAATCTGATCCGCTTAAAATTATAGTAAAAAAACTTTTGACACTACCCATATACAAAGATCAACAGGGAGGTCTTTGGCGATCGCGTTGGTTGTTTCTCCTCTGATTTTTTGGGGGCATTTTTTTTAAAAATTTTTATACTTACTACATATTTATTTAAATTATAATTCGTGTAAAATAAAAGGCGTCTGAATCTATTTTTTATTTTCTACAATTGCTGTTGATATCTTAATTGATAAATGTCTAAGATTTTTACGATATTAATTTAAATTTACTGCGCAATTCAACATTGAATAACAATATAAAATTAAAAATTAAATTTTTTTTATAACTTTGCTCTTATTTCTTTACCAATATTTTCACTTGCATCTTTACTTATTCGTAATCGTCCTACATCTCTATCACCCCATCGTTCATCATTTTTAAATCTTGGTATAATATGAAAATGTAAATGAAAAACTACTTGACCTGCAATAGATCCATTATTTTGAAGTAAATTAAAATCTTTAGCGCCAACACCTTGAATTACGGCATTTGAGATTCGGGGTAATACAGAGCCTAAAGAAGACATTATCGAAGGAGGGGCTAAAGTTAATCGAGGGATATGAGTTTTTGGCACGACTAAAGTGTGACCTTTAGAAATAGGAGCTATGTCTTAAAATAATTGAAATTAATTTAATTAATTTATAAAATTAAGAATTTTGGATCTCTCTTAAATTTTAGTTAATTACCTAGAAAAGCTAATACTTCTTCATTTTCAAATACTTTCACACATGATAATTGTCCTGATATAATTTTACAAAAAGTACAATCTTTTGGGTCTTCTGAAGGTATTGATTTAGATTGTGATTGTGAAAGAATTCGAGGATTAGTATTATTACGAGGAAAGAGTGGATTATCAATTGGTGCCATATTTGTTTTTTAAAAAAAGGGAATTTTATTATATATATATAGATTTTAGCTTTACCACGATTTGATTGATTAAATTCATTGTTAGACAAATTTGGTTGTCATACCTAAAGTCAGATGATTTGGTGTGAAATTTTGGTAATATTAAAAGACTCAATTTATCCCTAATTAATATTTCTCGCGTTCGCACAATGGTTGCCTTAAAGTTATTAAAGTTTCGAAGCTTATTGCACTCGGTATTCATTTTTTATTTGATACTTGCATTTAACATTACGTTGACCTTTACGAAGCAATTCGCTTACTTTGAAGTACCTCAGCAAAGTCAACACGTTAAAAAACTTGCAATAATTGGCAAGTAAATTCACTACCAAAATATTTGATATTATTAATGTTATCAATTACTCAATCGCATTATTGTTTTATCCGATAGGTGCTGGTGCGGGAGGCTCTTCAGCTGCTTATTGGGTTTCAGAAGCTTTTGCAAATTCATCCGTAAAAATAAATACTACAATTTATGAACAATCATCAGACGTTGGTGGGCGGGTCAAATTAATAAACTTTGAACGCGATGGTATAAATATTCCGATCGAATTAGGAGCATCGATTTTTGTTGATGTTAATTATCACTTGGTAGAAAATGCGGAGAAATTTGGATTGGAATTTATAAAATACGGAGAAGAACTAGAAAATTCGAAAATGGGAATGTAAGTAATCATCAAAAGATCATCATTAAGGCGGCACGTATTGACTTAATATATTTCCTATGTTTTCAAATAGTTGGAACGGCAAAGAATTTGTCTTTGAACAATCTTTTAGTTCATATTGGGATATCATGAAACTTTTTTGGAAGTATGGATTGGCTCCAATGAAAGTATGACCAAGCTTATTTTTTTTGATTTAAAATTTAATAAAATCACGTGATTTACTATTACTGTTAAAAAAATTTTTATAAGGTTCAAAATCTGGTAAAAGAAGTTATCGGAAAGTTTTTGGAAGAGTATAAATATGATGAGCCTTTTACTAGTATCGATTCTGAATCCGAGCGTCTTCAACTAGACGAAGAAAGAAAATTCAATGCTCAATATTACCTTTCTGAATTGAAAAATATTAATCAACTTTATCTCCAACATTTTGTTGAACCATTAACCCGCGTTAATTATGGCCAGAATTTAGCAGAAATGCACGCATTAGGAGCTTTTATTAGTTTAGCACCTCAAGGAGCGAAAAGTATTAAGGGAGGAAATTTCCAACTTTTTGAAAAGTTTATCGAACACTCTGGTGCCAATTTGAAATTAAATACCAGGATAACCAAAGTTACAAGATTACCAACACCCAAAGGTATCAAAAATGATGTGAAATATGCAGTAAAAGCAAGTGATGGCACTTCTGAAATATTCGATGCAATTATTTTGGCCTCTCCAATTGTAAAAAACTTTTCTCTTTTATTATTTTGGGAATTTTCGTAATTTTATAAGAACTCTCTAATCAATATATATAATTTAATTCATGCAGCAATTCACTGGAATTGAATTTAAAAATATGGATTTTAAAATTAAAGAAATTCCATATGTAACACTCCACGTTACTTTAGTTGTGGGACTCATTAATCCGGCCTACTTTGGTCGTACCAAAATTGAGGAGGTACCTAATCAAATAGTGACAACCAACAGTGGAAAATGTGAGTTTCTTAGTTTGGGAGGAAAATTTCAACTTCCAAATGGAGAAACCGTCAATAAATTCTTTTCGCACCAAGAGTTATCTGATGAGATGCTTGACAGACTTTACACCAATCGTTCTTGGACTTTCCGTAAAGCATGGAAAAGCTATCCTAAACTTTTACCCAATCAAACTTTTCCACAATTGGAACCTGTTGACGGTTTTTTTTATATCAATTCTTTTGAACCTTACATTTCGGTACGTTTAACCATTTTTTTTTTTTTTGTTTTATATCACATTTAATTTTTTTTTTTTTTTTACATTAGACTATGGAAACAGAATGTGTTTCAAGTAGAAATATCGTGAAATTACTTTCGAAAAAGTGGTCTGGGCTTCATTTGAAACCAATAAAAGCTAAATTATAGAAATTTGTTATGTACGAAAAATTTTAGATAAAATACATTTACCAATCCAAAATTCTAGAATTTTTGTCAGGTAAATATGTGACATTTGTGCAATTAAAATATTAAATTTCACATTTTTTATTTCTTAATTTTCAATAAACCATTTAGGATAGTTGTTAAATTATCAGAAGGACGGATGAAAAATATTTAAAGACTTAATAAATTCAAAAATATTACATTCTTAACGATTTGACTTAGCAACACGTTCTAGTATAAAGAATAAAAAATTAATTAATAAATTTGAAAAAATATAGATATAAGATTTAAATCATAACTTGTCTTACCGAGTTCGTCTTTCTTTTTAATAGCATAAGAATTTGAACTTCCCTCTGTAATATAAAATATGATTAACAAAATATTTTGCTTTGCAAATAAAAGTAATTCAACAAAAAATAAAACACAAAACACAAACTAGCAGCATTAATAAGTTCATCAGCCAAACATTCAGCAATACTCTTTACATTTCTGAAAGCTGATTCACGCGTCTATATTATTTCACCAAATAAATAATAAGTAATCATAATTGAAAAAAAAAAAAATACTTCGACACTTACTCCAGTTGTCAAAAGAGCAATAGCTTGATTCACCCGACGAAGAGGAGACACATCAACAGCTTGTCTTCTTACAGTACCAGCACTACCAATACGTGTTGAATCTTCACGTGGACCAGTGTTAATAATGGCATCAACTAACACTTGAATAGGATTTTGATCAGTTAGCAGATGAATGATCTCAAATGCATGTTTTACAATCCTAACAGCCATTAGTTTTTTTCCGTTATTACGACCGTGCATCATAAGTGAATTTGTTAACCGTTCGACAACAGGGCACTAATAGCGTAATTGGAATCACTAATTGTTATACGCGTCATCTTCATTTAAAATTACAAAAAGCTTAAAATTCAGTCTCATAAAAAAAAAAAAAATTTATGACATACCTGAGCCTTTCTAAACCTCTTGGTAGAAAAACGTCCAGCGGTATGTGGTAAGTATACTGGGTTTCGAATTTGAATATAATCTGTCAATGATATATCCTTGACCTCAACATCATCGTAGGTCCATTTGTTAAATAACCGAGTGCCTTGTGAAGCTTCGTTAATTATTTCTGCAGGAAGGGCCATGATGTGCCTATAAATTAAAATCTTTATTAGATATAAAATGAAATGTTGAATTATTTATTTAATGAGGATGGATTACATTGATTAAATTCAATCACACCTTTTAACTCTGCAACGAAATTACGAAATTGAAAAAAGAGAAGGAAAAATTTTTTAAATCGATGAAATATTTTTATATCAATCTCTGACGTCACATAAATTAACCAATCCAATGGCGTAATTATCAACCAATCAAAAAATTATTAATTTTATTATTATTGTATATAAACTTAAATTAACTTAATTAATATTTAAATTAATTAAACAAAAAAAATTTAAAAAAAATTTTTTTTAAAAAAAAAAATATATTTTTTTTTTGTTTTAAAATATTAGATTAAAGATGAGAACCGTAATTAATATATTGCAACTTTTAATATTAAAACATACGTTACAATTAGTTTTGACCTATATATATTATAACTTATAATGTTGCAACATATGTTGTAACTAATTTTAGCTTATGTTGCAACATGTAAATTTGAAATTAATTGCTGTACCATCTTTATATCAGATAAATATTTTTTACAGCTGATTTATAATTCCTGAATCAAAGCCAAAAATTTTCAGTTACAAGCATAGTCAGTTACATTCAATCACATTTAATTATACAAAATCATAATAAATTTTTTTCAAATATTATTTTATACAAAGTAAATAAACATATCACTTTCTATTTAATACCATTGGAAAATAAGTAGTTAGCTTAACCAGGTTTTAATAATATTTTTCGTAATTGTATTAGTATCTAATTTACAGATTTAGATCAAAAAGGTAAGAGACAAAGGGTAATCATAAAGCAGAAATAAAATAATAAATAATAAGATAATCTAAGGACAAAGATAAGCAATATTTCATTTTTATGTCATAATATTATTAATTATTAGACTATTATAATATAATTAGGTAATAATTACTCAAGTGTTATAAGATATTACAACATAATTCTTGTAATAGATAGTAAATTAGTTAATAATTTCTTATAAATAAAGGAAATATTTTCATATCCATTTAGTTAGTTCTTTTAAAATAAAAGAAGTAATATTCTAATTAGAGTTTTGCAAAATCAAATCAAATCAAATCAAATCAAATCAACCAAACTGAATCAAAATGATTAAATATATATATATATATTTAAGACGCGGTGAAATATTTATTTATTAAAAAACATTTTCATAATATAAATTAAAGAAAATCCCAAAATGGATACATAAAGTAGAAAATAAAGTAAATGTTACCTAGCCTTTGTCAAAGGCATATTGCCTTCTCCAACCAAACCAACCAATTGTCTCATTGCATTCAATTTAAAAAAATTAATTAAATTCACATTATAAAATTTTTTTTTAGTTAAATTTTTTTATATTTTATTTTTATATTTAATAACATTTACATAATTGAAACTTTATATTTTTTTCAAAAAGAAAAAGCACTATTATCCTAATAATCAGTTCTTTTTATTATTATTAACCATTATTATTTCTCAAATTATACAAAAAATTTATACATAAAAAAAAATTAAAACATATCAGACTTTAG